TACTAGAATAAGTTCTTTTAAATTTTCTATGAATTTAATATATTTTTAATTGATATCATTATTAAAAAAATGGTTATTTTAAAAACTATAAATTTTTAAAAGTTTTAGGCACATTTATCTTACAAAATTCCTACCTTTTAAAATGAATAACTTTTTTATTATTTTGTATCATTGTAAGAAAACATTCTAATAACAATTTCTAGCAATTTTAGCAATGAAACTTTAACAGTGGATGAAGTTTAAAGAATGCTGCTTTTAACCTAGTTAATGGACCATCTTCAGGTATGGACAGTTGAAAGTGGAATGTCAGTGTTGGTTAGAAATAAAGATGGGACAAATAATAAAGCAGGTGGAGGATGAACTATGACTACATCATTACTAACACATGTTAAACAGCAGAGGCAAGGACTCCCTTCCTTCCCTTGCCAAGCAATATCTTCTTAGTTCTTCACATCAACCACTGTAGTTGTAGTTCTCCCTTGGCTTGCTTATTCTTCTCATCTTCTTTCCTAATCAATATTGGTATTCTACAGTCCCTATTCCAGGGCCAGTGAGAGCTTGTGTGAGGCCTGGGATAAAGTGTCTCTTTGTCTCTTAGCAGCTTCCTTTTGCTATTTATTTTTTGAACAAATTAAATATGCAAAATGTTCATTTATTAATAAAAATCAGTCTTAAAGATTTTATTTTCTTTTAGGGGTAGGAATTACTAAGGACCCCTACGTTTTCTCTGGGCCTGGGGAAAAAATCTGCAGCTCCACCTCTTGACAGCATCATCCGTACCAGAAGATGGTCCATTAACTAATTCAAAAATATTAAACATTTCATAAACTTCACCCACTGTTATAGTTTCATTGATTAATTCAGCAAAGTAACTAAAATGGCCAGTTCATTCTTGTAGTAGTAGTAATTGATATTAATATGATATTAATACAATCATAAAAATTATATTTCTATCAGAAAAAATTCAGCCAATGTTATTAAGGCTGGAAATTATTTTGTTTCTCTCTTAACTTTCAAAGATAAAGATGCATATTTCAAATAATGTACCAATATTACTTCATAAGAATATATTTTTATATGGATCTGATAGAGATTAAATTAATCAAAAATTAGGACAGTCTTATATAATAAACTTTTTTCAATTTTATAGTGAATTAACAAAAATGAAAATAATTACAAAAACAAATATTTAAAAAAATGTTTTAATTGATTATTTGGCTATTTATTTTTTTACTTAAAAGTAAGAAAAATTTCAAACTCAGTGAAAGTGTATATAAGCAGAAAAATTTATAAACTAAATCTTTAAATAGCAATTTTGAATTCAGTGATATATAATTATTATATTTTATATAAAAAATTAAAAAATTCTAACATAAAAAATAAGATTATTTATTTGCAAAATATAAACTTCTTTTTTTACCTTTTCAAAATTGTTTAATTTAATAGCAGCATTAGCAGTTAAGTGATAATATTCAACAGCTTTTCCAATAGCTAATGCTTTATTCCAATGACTAGATAACTGATCAAACAGAATAAATCTTGTTTCTAGACATTTACATGCTCTCAAATTAACCTTTACATTCTGAAATAATCTATAAAAAATAAATATTATAGATATATAAGTTAAATATCTTTACTGTTATATCACATCTTTATTTAAAAATAAAGCTAAAAAGACTAAATGTGAGAATCAAACAAAAAGAAAAAACAGCCCAATGATGATCTATCTTATCAGAAGCTGGGATATGTCAACTTATACTTTCTCTGATTTGATTGTGATACCTTATGACACCTTTCCCTCAACCCTTAGTCACATCTGGGGAATTTGTACCTTTGAATATGGCAAAGAATGGCTGATTTTAGTCAGTTTCTGCTCATTCTTTAAGCTCTTAAGACCTGTGCCTACATGCTACTATCCATCTGCAGTTTTGTTTGTGTGCCTCCTTTGGATTTCTATGCCTTCAGATTTCTCATTACTCTCTTGCTTGTGAGCTACTTCTCTCTAACATCTTTAAGCTTTGCCTCAATGAGAACTGTTAGTCAATGTCAAGATTTGATTTCCTCTGCTCCTCGACATGGGTATTACTAGTTAGGTATCAAAGGTATCAAAATTTGTAAACTCTATCTGCAATGATAATGCATGTAATTTCAAATACTATGTCTTACTTAGATGTGTGGTTGTTCGGAATGAGATATTTGTGGGTCTGCGAGTAACCGTTACAAATAATACAGAAACAAAATTGCACACGATGAAATATTCTTTTAATTCTCTCTGAACGTGTTTCTTTTATTACACAGATCCCAACTCAAAAGATTTTCACTTCAATATCTACACAGGGAAGTGGAGGTTGTCTCCTATTATTTTACAGGTAACACATGCGCGTAACACAGAACAAAAGAATAAATTTAATGACTAACTTAAAACTAATCTTACATCTATCTTAAAACTAACAAGGATAGGAAACGAATAGGCTTAGGAAAGCAAGGGAAATATAGGAAGGCAAATAGAAAGTACCCAGGTTCAAGTCGTTTAGTTGATATCCTTGATGATTTTCGTTCTCACAATCGTGATTTCCTCTCTTTCTCTACTAAACAAGCGGTTCGATGTCTAGGTTCTCCCACTCTCCTAGTGTCCTATGGATCCTCGTAACTTTTTCTTTCCCTGGTCTTGGCAGGTTCTCTCTTACAGCTACAGCCTCCTCTCTTTTGCTCTCTTTCGAGTCTGGAACGCTGTGTACCATGTCTTTTTTCTCTGAGGTCCAACCCAAAAAGTGACCACCACTCTTCTCTCACATTGCCTTGGGCTCTTACTTCCTTTGTCTATCTCCCCAAATTTGGGGAAGTCATAATCTCCTCTTCCTTTGTTCACTTCAGTCCTTAGAAAGTGTAATCCTCCCCCTTAAGCAGTAACTGTTTATGTAGAAATTGCTTTGAAACAAAGGAAAGGAAGTAAGAAAGTAGAAACAAAAGAAGAATATAGAAAAAAAAAAGGAAAGAACTTACGAATTATATAAAAACTAAAATATGGCTGAAAGCCACAGATGTATAATATACTTTAAACTTTTGTGCTGTCTAATAAATGTTTAAGTGTAGTTAATTGTGTTGCAAATGACCTCTTCCAACTGAATCTTATCATTTCCTACTCCATCCTCTTATTCCTAGTCTCATATATGAGATAGAGATGACTAAAACTGAAAAAGAATTTATTCTAAATGACAGCAATGATCGCACACCAAAAATCAACATTCAACTAAAAACTCATAAGCCAGGTGAAAAAATAAGACCCATAATAGACTTTAAATACGCAACGCTATATAATTCTATATAATCTAGAAAAATTTTTAAAACAAAAACTTAAATCTATTCAAAATTCCAGATTTGCCATATTAAATACAGACGAGCTTCTACAAGACATCACAGATATAAAAATAGAAAAAAGTTTTAGAATTGCCAGTCTGGATATTGTTGATATGTACCCCTCCATGTCATGGGAAATAGTAGAAGAAAAACTAAAACAGATTAATATAGAACCAGAGATAATAGACCTAATAGAATTTTCTTATAGAAGTAACTATTTCGAAATTAACGAGAATTATTATACTCAGAATGAAGGCATTAGTATGGGATCTGTTATTGGACCAAAGCTTGCCGAAATAGTGATGATAGACATAGACAAAGTAATTAATAAAATACAAGGAATAATAATTTATAAGCGATACGTAGATGATATTCTGATTATATACGACAATAAGAAAATAACAATTGAACAGATAGAAGCAAGAATAAATAATATACATAAAGGAATTGAGTTTAAGATAGAAGAAGAAGACATCGTCAGTAATAGTATAAATTATTTGGACATAGTTATTAAAAGGAATGTGAATAGCTTGGAATTTGAACCCTTCAAAAAGTCTTGTGCCATTAACACAACTATAAAATACGATTCTCACATACCTGTGGTGTGTCGTGTTTTGAGTAGACAAAGAAAACAGACAACACTAAGAGCAGAGATAATCGTATATTAACACTAGGAGTACAGCCAGAACGGGGTCGAAGGGGAAACATACATACAATGTGACTAGTTGTTCTTAATCCAAGATCTTGCTATTCTTCTTCCCTTTTCGCTCGGTCCTTTTCTTTCTTCCCTTTTTGCTCGGTCCTTTTCTTTCTTCTTCTTCCCGCCAAAGTCTTCAAATAGCCAAAGGTATCCCCTGATCCATTTACACTCCTTATATATCAGTTGCCCCTAGCGCCCCCTTGCGTTACATTCCCAAATTACAAATTAAAAAATAAAATAGACAAATATTATAACACACGAATATTTACATTGACATAACGTTACTAATAATACATATAAACAATAATATTTTAGTATAAAAGAAACACCACATTTAAGCCTCCATGAAGGGAGTAAAAAAAAACAAACATGGTGGGCACCACCACATATCTCCCCCCTTAAGATATAACATAAAAGTGGGTGATAAAGTATCACTCCCTGCCTCCCTGAACCATGGCACGGTAGTTGATTCTTCTCCCACGTAAGTTGTATGGGCAAGGTTTCGGGGTTTGCGTGTTACTAAGGGATTGTTCACCCTGAGGCATTCCAGGATCAGTTCGCATGGTTGATCTCGGGTCTTGATCACATTCATCATCAGAATCCCAAGGATTGAAATCATCCACAGGGCTTTGCTTTGACCTCCGATATACGCGCATCCTTCCTGGCTGTACTGGGCCCCAAAAAGGTTTTAATCTATCAACATGGACAGTCTGGACGTCACCATCACGCATTCCGCAAATCTTATAATTTACTTCGTTGATAATTTCAATGATTCGGAATGGACCTTTGTAGCGAGGGGAAAATTTTTTTCTTTTTGGGTCATTAGGTGGTCTCAAGAGCCAGACACGCTGTCCAATACCCAGGCTCCTCAATTTCCGGTTTTTATTCCAATATTGAATAGACTTCCTTCGTTCAATCTGACTTATCTCAAAGGCCGTATCCCTGGCCAATTTTAGTCTTTCTATTAGTTCAGATCGATATTCATCGGCACATCTCACATTACTTGTATCCTCAATGGCAGTTTCGCCCGGCATGACTGGGTCAAATCCATACATTAAAAGTTTGGGGATTCATGGGTGGAGGAGTTGACTGTATTACGATATGCAAACATTGCTGGGAAGATGTATTGGTCCCAGTTCTCCTTATCACCTTCAGATATTTTACTGATTATATTGATTATACATTGATTTACTCGCTCCACCGAGCCATTTGATGTTGGCCTATATGAGGTAGTCAGCTTGTGCCTAATATTCAAAACCTTACAGGCGTCCTCCATAATATTAGAAGTGAGATTAGGTCCGCGGTCCGATATCAACTCCTTCGGACACCCAAATCTACAGACGACGTGATTAAACAGCGCATCAGCTATTATTTCAGAAGTTTGCCTCTGAATTGGTATAGCCTCCGCATATTTCGTAAAGAGATCGACGAACACAAGGATGTATCTATTGCCTTGTTTAGACGTGGGAAGGGGCCCTATTAGGTCAACAGACACCATCTGAATTGGATACTTAGCAGGATTGAATTCTTGAATGGGGGCTTTCCCCATGTGTCTGTTATATTTTTGGCACGTATTACACGACTGGATGTAATCTCTTACCTTCTT